GGGGAAATCTTGCAGGTAATTAAGCAACTAAAGTTAGGGAAAGCGCCAGGCACAGATGGCCTGACAGCGGTTTACTATAAAAATTTACAGTTAGAAATGGTAGAACCTCTTAGAGAACTATTTAATAAAATTCAAATGGAAGGTAAAGTGCCCCCATCTTGGAAGACAGTGTTTATATCTTTGATACCCAAAGAAGATCAAGATACTACCCAACCAAAAAATTACAGACCTATCTCATTACTTAATGTAGATTATAAAAATTTTACTAAAATACTAGCAAATAAGTTAATGGTGGTTATGCAACAATTGATACATACCGACCAAACAGGTTTTATACAGGGGAGACAGATGAAGAGTAATGTTAGAGTAATATAGAAGTAAGAATCCAAGAGTGAATCAGCATTAGCCTTGTAACAGTATAATAAAAGTAATTTGTTAAAAGTAATTTTCAAGGTTATAAAAAAAAATCCCCAAAGTCACTCATGTTTGGATTCCTAAAACACAAATGAATAGCAATTCTGTTTAAATTTAAATGGCTCAATAAGTCTATAAAAAGAACTACAAAGAAATCTTGTGACATGAGTGTCAAACTTCATGAAATATTTCTGTAGAATTAAAACCACTCCTAAAGCTCCTAGAGAATTTTTGAAGGAAAAAACGTGGGTGAATGTTTCAAGGCTGGTTATTTATAAATGCACCCTGTGTTGACAAAATCTCATAGATTGTGTATAAAATCTCAAGTGGGGAGGGGGGAGGAACACTCCTTTAAAAGGAGAATTGCTTGTCAAGTTACTTGAAAGTCCAGCCAAAAAGGAGAGAGCATTCAAACTCAGAAAACATTAAGTAGGTTCTTCTCTCCCCCTCCCCTCTTTCAAAAGATATAGTACAATGTATAATCCCCTTCATGGATTACTCCCTTGTCGTGGAGCTTGCGTAGCTCAATGAAGCTATGAGCTATGCCATGCAGGGCCACCCAAGAAGGACAGGTCATAGCAGAGAGTTCTGACAAAACGTGATCCACTGGAGAAGGGCATGGCAACCCACTCCAATATCTTTGCCATGAAAACCCCATGGACAGTACCAAAAGACAAAAAGGCCTGGAGGAACGTTGTCCATGGGGGGCGATGGGTCGGACACGACTTCGCAACTAACAACAACGTTTTTGAATTTCTCATTACATAGAAACAGCAGTGGCAACATTTTCTACTTTAGCTCTTAACAGACACATTTCCCATTAAAAGGACATGAAGAGATGGGACTCCTCCTATAAGTGCAGGTCAGGGATTTAGGGTCATTATGAGCTCATAGATAGTGCAAAATAAGGCCATAGCCAGATGTCCTTTGCCAGCTCTCTTTGGTGCACCAGCTGTAGTCCATCCTGGGATGAATTACTCTTTCTGCATTAACTCATTGGCACCATATGAGTTTGTTTAGATTACTACAACATATCCTACACGGGGCTGTCCCTGAAGACTACTCAGAAGCTATAACTGGTTCAAAGGCAGAGGCTACACATTAGCAAATCAAAGTCCCTATAATCATACAACACCTGCCTTGTGGTCATTTGCTAATTACCAGATATTTCCAGATAAAAGTCAATGCTGAGTTTAATGTACAAAGTCTAAATGTTTTGCCCGAGATACTTAATAGGTCTGCTTTTTCATCATGTTTTTCAGTTGCAACCCTATATAGTGCAATAGAATTCTCCCTTGAAATTAAGCTGACACTTTTGTTACTGGAAGATATTAAAAACATGTTTTGGAAGGAAGGAATGATCATAAATTGTGCAAACTGCATTACAATAGAATTTTGTATTAATTCTGATTTTAGATTTTTACTATGTTTTTGCTTTTATAGAAATGAACTGCCAATTTGGTTTTGGCACTGAACAAATAGAGCAAACAAATACCATATTTTTGGACTATAAGACGCACCAGAGTATAAGACGCAACAAGTTTCTGAAGAGGAAAATTTTAAAAAAAAGTTTTTACACTCTGCAAACCTCCCAAAAACAGCCAGTTTTCATGAAAACGGGCTCATGGTTTTTTTTAAAAAAAGGGCATGAATAGCCCTTAGGAGGTTTGTAGAGTGCTCCTGGGAGGGTGCGGGTGGGTCCAAAAATGAGCAAAAAAAATTCATTTTTCATGAAAACGGGCCCATTTTTTGTCACAAAAAGAACATGGATAGCCCTTAGGAAACTTATAGAGTGCTGCTGGGGGGGGCAACAAATGGGCCATTTTTCACTCATTTCTGCCCTCCCCAGCCCCCAGGAGCTCTCTGAAAGCCTTCTACAGGATATGCATGACCATTTGGTGAACAGGGCAGAGTTTCAGGAGGCAAAAAATGCTGTAATCAGTGTATAAGACGCACCTAGATTTTCAGCCTCTTTTTTGAAGGAAAAAGGTGCATCTTATACCTCAAAAAATACGGTACTTGATAATCTACATTAATTTTTTTCATGGCTCCATGAGAGCCCGGTTCGGAGGAAGAGGAGGAGTTGGAACCAGGACCATCTGACATTGATGGCACGTCCCTTAGCATGTTTGGAGAGGCCAGGGGCTGAGGACGAGACTATCCCAAACCCCCTCGGGCATTGGGGGAAGTGGTAGACCAGGCAGAGAACTGCCTGCTTTCACAGAGACAGGCAGTGCGGTTGATAGGCAGATCTCCTCTGATGCGGATCCAAAGACTCAGATCTAGATCTCAGGGAAATCTCATTCTAGAAGGGAGTGACAGAGAAGTTACATTTCCTGGGTCTTAATAGATGGCATTATTTAATCAAGTGCTCCTGGAGTGTACCAACCCTATCAGCTCAAATCAAAAACAGATAAAAAAGGCAGTCCCTCAAATAACCAGGCCATACATCACATAGGGTTTTATAAATAATAATCTACACCTTGATTCATACTTGCAAAGAACCAGTCAACCAGTGCAGGTCACGGAACAGAGGTATCACACGTCCATACACATATTGCTGCATTCTGAACCAATTGAAGCTTCAGAATGGTCTTAAAACACAGCTCCATGTAGAATATGCTGCAATGGTTGAGCTATGAAATGCCTAGGATTCCTGATCCTAGAAAAAGCACAATTAACACACCAGCTAAATCTATGCAAAGGGAATTTGTCCAAAGATGCACAACTAGCATACCAAATAATACCAGAAATACAACTAGCACCCCAGATAAATCCCGGAAAAAAACACAATCCCAGAAGAAATACAACTAGCCCACCAGATAAATCTTTGAAAAGGGACTTCCTGACCACAACTGTCCCTTGCTAATCAATCAGGAATTGAATCCAGGAAGAATTGCAACCATGCTATAATGGAGAAGTGTATCATCATCCAAGATCAAAAATAAAAAAACGCTGGAACCCACAACCACTTGGGTATTGGGACCATCCTAGTCACTTGAGTATTGGGACCATCCAACCCACTTAGAAGGAATCACCTCTGAGTCCATTAAGACCCCTTGACTAAATGATATAGCAGCACAATTGAAATATAAGATTCCATACTTAGTAAGAAATGTGTACTATATACCGTACAGATTTGGTAATTTTTGAAGAATGGAAAAAAGTCAAGTGATAAAAGATATTAGAACTTTAATGAGAACCGCCAACACAGTGACTTGTAGCTTTCCATAAAAAAATGTTAATTTCAAGAAACTGTGAATACTTTTGAATGTAACTGAGTATCTCATTTTAACGTGCTGCCATAAAAAGCTAAAAAACCCACCTCTGAACATTCAATAATTTACATGGTTTAAATTATGTTTTTTGTCAGAATTTACTTTATAATCCATGTAGGTACAAAAATGTAGTCCAACAACGGTTGAGGTATTTCATCTTGCATGTTAAAAACTGAATGAGGACAATGCCTCAGATTTCAGTTTTATGTAATAAAGTTAATTCTCTTCTAGATGCAAGCTCTGAAGAAAACAATCAAGTGGATAGTAATTCCATAATTATTTTCATAAATTTGTCATATCTATTTGGCAGGCAGGTTTCTAGAGAATGTTGTCCAGGAGTGGCCTGCACAATAACAGTACAATGTACTGTTTATGGAACTAAACAGGATATATATTGAAATTTTACTGAAATACTACTGAAATATAGTCAATCAGTACAATAACTTCATATTTGCAGCATGTGGAAAAGATTCAGAATTTTGTTTCACAATTTATGTAAACATAATGATCTCTGCACACAACTGTCTCACGTTGTGGCAAACAATGGAGATACACACTTAGGAGCCAGCACAGGGAGGCAATGTGGTTTCAGCTAATGTATGTTAATAAATTATCAGTATCATGGAGAATGAATAGACTTGTACAGTTCATTCTGCATGAGAAAATTCCAAAGATCAGAGAGAAAAATAAGAAATGTTATACTTTTTCCTCTATGACTCCCTAAACAGGCTGTATAAAACGTTGTAAAATTATGTTCACCACAAATTAAGAAAGGTGTTTTACATTCTATATATTGTTTACATTTGCCACACAACGCATCTATTTGAACTCCATGTCCGCCCCACCCCCCAAAAAATAGTACACAAGACATTTGTTGCTCCCGGAGCTTTCCAAACATCTGTGGAAGCCTTTCATTGTAACTGCCTGCCTGCCTACCCGTCAAGTGAATCAAAGAATCCAATTCTTCTATGGAAGCCCTCCTGTATAAGAAACGTGAGGAAGCCATAGCTAGAATTCCTCATCCATACCGAGTCGGGTTGAACTCGCATTTTCTAAAGAAAAACCCTACTGAACTAAACCAACTTAGTTTAGACACACAAAGTGCTGCGGAGAAAGAACTGCGTTTCGGGGTTTTATCTGGGGCGCAGGAGAAACAGCGGAGGATAATTTCGCTCAGACACTTTCCAGCGGGGAGGCGAAGGGTTCCTATTTCACACCTAAAGCTGCCTCCCACTCGAGGAAGCTAAGGGACCAATCCTGCCCGGTCAGGGTCCGTTGTGCCACTACGGGGACCTCGAAGAGCCAGAGCCAAAATTGAGGGAGGCACCCCAGACGACCACGGCCAGCTCCAGGACGAAGCAGAGGGCGTGCCGGGCTCTATATGACCTATTCCGATTCAGACTACAAGAAATTTCGCTTCGCCCTCACCTTCCCGCTTCTCCGGGACACCCCGGATAACAGTCTATTTAGCCAGTCCGGGACATTTTTCCCCCTTCCAGCGTTGTCCTTTCACAAACCAAAACAACCAGCGCGCTCGACCCAAAGCGCTCGGAGCTCGACTTTTCCCCGCGTCTTACAACTTAGCAGACCGTCCCAACAGCCACCGCGAGAGCCCGCTACCCACCCCTTTACGGCAGCCGAGAAAGAGCAAAATTAGCGAAGTTGCGCTCGTGTGCTAGAAACGAAGGGAGGGAGGGGGCGGAAGCTTATCCTGAAAAAGTTGCCGTCGCCATGGCGGCGTTTCTTTGCCAAGAGTGAGTGTTGCTCAATGGGGCGAGCGGGTAAAAACGGTCTTGGTAAAACTTTTTTTTTTATGGCCCGGGGTTCATGTTTCCTATTTTGCTAAATGCTTGCTGTAATCTTACACGGCGCTCTGAATAAAGCAGAGCCACCCGGGAGGAGGAATGACGGAAGAATTCGGGAGCATGGGAAAAACTAACGGATGGTGGCCTAAACGTTCGAGGATCTAGAGTTCTTTTCATCATATGCGCGAATCATTGTAGAAATTCTGGGCATACACACGTACCTTCCAGCAGGTTTTCATTGTCGTTTTTTCTCCTCGTTTTGTTTGATCTACTATTGGCCACAGAGGACAACAGCTGTTGAACTCTCCTTCACAAAATACGATAGGTTGTCGTTTTTAAGGAGCCAGAGATTGGCTTTGGTGACGTTTGCTTTTTTGGCTCCTCAGGCCGTGGTCATCTTTGACTCTAGATTATGCTTTCCCATACTTGACTGGTGCATAATTTGGGTCTCTTCATAGACTAGTGGCTCTTAACTCGAAAAAGAGGGGGCAGCTATCTGGCTCTTTGCAGATTCCCCTTGTGTGTCAATTGGACCCTTTCAAGGTCATTCATGCCTAGGTTATTCCCTGCTTGTGTTACTGCAAAATATGAGGCTGACCTTGAGGGTCACCCAGATTGTAGCAGCATGCAGTGGTGGGCACCTGTGTACCCATAACAGCACAAGTTGCACTGACTTCCAGTTTCCTTCCAAGTGCAATTTAAGAGGATGGTTATTAACTTGTACGATACCAGTTATTCGCAGGACCACCTTTCCTTGAGGATGTATGCTCAACTCACCACATTGGATAGAATAGGCATGTTCCTGATCCTTAAAATGCTGCCATTTTACATTTTGCCCAATGTTGTGTCCCTTGAGGAGTCCCCTACTCCTTTAGTCATCTTAAAAGCACTTAAGGTTTGACTTTTCCTTCAATTGCCAGGTAGGTGAGATTAACGTGGGATAAACTTGTGGGCTGCATGCGAAACTTTAACTGTGGTGCCAGGTTTTTTAAAAATTTCATTGTTGACATATATCATTTTTATTTTGGGACTGTGCGCCACCCAGAGTTTGGTTTAGGACAGATGACCGTATAAAATGTCTTAAATAAACATTGCATTGTTTCATATTACTGAAGAGATGCTGACAGAACTTCTTTAATGATGCTGGTTCTCCTGAGGCTGAACGCAGACCTGCTGTGCCTAGACAGATGGCAATATGTTTCTCCCTTCTCCCTCCCTCGAATTCTATATGAGAAATTAGGCTCAATTTGTTACTGAAATAAACTGGGACTTCAATATCAAGCCTGCAAAATAGCAGGTGCTGGCAACAAAAAAATGTCTTTGGACAGGCTTGTTTGTGGGCAGTTATTCAAAGGGAGAAGACTGCTTTGATGTTTTTGAAGTTTTGCTGAAGTTTTTTTTCCCTCTACTGTTTAGGGCAATGCTGATAGTGGTTGGTAGAAATTGTGACCCAGTATAACTAAGGCAACAGAACAGGAAAGAGAGCAACTTAAATGTTTATTGAAGGCAAAATGGGAAAGTAGGCTTTATTCTAGTCTAGCACCTTGCAGAATTTAATAATTTGTATTTATTGCATGGTGTTTTCATATATTCTTATAGTCACAGTATTGGTAAAAATATAGTATATTTCACAAAAATATGCTCATATTTGCATTAATAAGTGGCTTTTTACCAGCATCAACTTTTAGCTTAAATAACAGATTATTTATTAGTGGCTAATATTCTCATATTTAGTCTCTAGAAGAAACCATTGAGGTTAGGACAGTCACTAAGTGAAACAAGTATGGTTTACTGAAAAAAGATTCAAAACAGTTTAGAAAAATCACTTGTTTCGGCTATTTTATCCAGATGCAATTCACTAAATTGCAATCTAAAATTGAAATATAATCTTTTCTAGTATTCATTGGGTCATGAATCTTAGAAAACGATAACTTGCTTCTCTCACTGTTTAGGGCTGTGCAGTGTTTCATATTCACTTCCGAACTGATGTTGTAAAAGAATATAGCATCTTTGCAGCTCTTTAAAGAACGGTATATCAGATGACTATGTTGTATTATTGCCATACAATCCTAGACAAAAATTACCTTAAAAATTACAGTGCTATATTTGCACACAGTGTTCTGAAACACATTTCTGGAATCTAATCTAAAGTACTGCACATTCCAAACATATATTTCTTTTCCAGCTTTTCACTTGATATAAAAAAACAATCAGAGAAAGGATAAGGAAATGTTATGCATTTTTTAACTGAGAGTAGTTTGAATAAGGGAGTTTTAGGCATCTTTTTTAATCAGGAGAGTAGTGCAGTATTCTCTGCTTCTTACTGAATCTTTGAAAACTAAGTTGATATATAGATGTTAATGTAGTATTTTCAGTTTTTTAATTATTTGTTATTTACACCTATGCCAAGTGCATTAATAGAAATGTGGTTTTATTCCTTTCTTCTTGTAGTCTGAAGATGCAAATGTAAAGGCAAATATCTCGCTGTTTACAGCAGCTAAGAGAAAAGAATGGAGATAATGTTTGTATTTCTAACTTGCAAAATAAATATTATCAAAAGTAACAAAAACTCCGTAGACAAGATTAAGCAGGTGTCACTTCTACAGTATTTTAACATCCTAGTTCTAACAATATACAAATATATCGAGAAATACAAATAAAACATTCAATGAAAAGCTGCAACATACTGACTGCTACTAGAATTTGATGGAAGAATATCATATCTGGTGCCAAATAATTACTTTTAAACAGTTAAGGCAAATAGAAAAATATTTCATACAATTAAATGGAATGGTTTTCATTTAACAATGCAATCAAAAGAACTGTGTAACTGACTTTATTTTTATTATTTTTGAAGAAAACAATGAAACTGAAACCATATTGAACCAAGATATATAAAGTGAAGCACCCAAAATAATGTTCCTAAACCAAGAGCAACAAAAATTTCAAAAATCAACTGAATGTGTTAATTATTTAAATTATTACTGCTTAAAATATTTTATAAATCTAAAGATTTTTATGAATCAGTTCTAGGCTTCAAGTAACAGAGTTCCAGTTGTTTCAGTGATGGACTATTGATCCAAAAAGCTGTCAAATCGATCATTAAATGAAACGTCAGTTTTACTCCTGAAAAACCATTCAAGGAAGCAGAGATACTATCCAGTTGAAAACATTTCCTGCCATTATTACACATCCATTTGCGGGATCAAACAATTTGCTTAAATTTTTTATTGATGGTAGAGTGATCTCAAATGGGATCTGGAAAAAAGAGAAAGTGTTGACTAAGCAATATACTTGTGTTTGAATTAAGTTCTTAGCTAAAGATAGTCTTTGAGAGGAACATTTTTATTAGGAACAATTGTTTCTCAGCCTTTTGGTTAATAACACATACTCTAACAAGATTTTAACTACAGAAAACTAGAAAAAAATTACCTAATATACATACTTGGTATTCAGAAGGAAAAAAATCAATTACTTTACATTAGCAGAAAGATCTGCCTATCACTGTAATTCTCCAAACTGATTCTGAATAACAGTACAGTAAGCCCTTGACGCTACCATGGCAGTTGGAACGAGTGCCTCCATCACTGTGCAATTCAGTTCTGAACGGTGATGTCACATGACTGCATCACTTACCAAGTGCGATCCCATCACTCCACTGCTGCCATTAACCAAACTCTACCAGTCATTAACTGAGGACCCACTCTCATCCAAGACATTCCCATTTTGATCCCTCCCAGTCCTGAGGCTCAATAAGCCTATGGTAAGGGGCTGGATTGCTGCTTCCTCTTCAATTTCCTCTTCTGCTTATCTCTGTCTTTTTAGCCACCTCTGCTTCCAGTTGTCCCTGTCCAGCCCTAATTGCCCTGCAACCTTCTAGTGAAGGGTCAAGTCCCACCTTAGCCATGAAAGCCAGCTGGGTGATGTTGAGTCACTCGCTCACTCTCTCAGCCCAAACCACCTCATAGGATTGTAGTAAAGAAAATAATGAGAGGAAGATGTATAGGATATGTTCATGGCCTTGAGTTATTTGCAAACATAATACATAAAATTGTGAGTGGGCCAAAATGTGCCCAACTTTTTATTAATGTCAGCCACTAACAGGCCGTGGCCTATTCAGAATTGGGCTGCATAAGTGGCTGGCTGAAGCATCAGCCCTCTGCTCTGTGGCCCAGTTCCTCTCTCCCCCACCCATCAGCCAGGCTATCAAGCCACAACGGCTGGGGACAGTTGCCTTAGAAGCATCACCATTACAGTGTGTCCTCCTCTATGGATATCTTGTGATCCAATCTTACAAGTTTACATAAAAACAAACAGTTAAGCTACAAGAATGTATTATGCTTTACAAAAGTAATTATAAAACCTTTTTCTTTTTTGGGATCACCTGAGAAGGAACAAAACATTTTAATGCACTAATATGTTTCATTAATTATCCACTACTATTAATATAATACATGGCAAACAGGTATATATTGTATAATGTATTGTGCCCTTTTACCTAAGAAGAGCTTATATTCCAGACAACAAAAATTATAATCATGCTAATACAAGTAACTTCATATTCAGAATATAATAAAATATGCTTCCCAGAATACAATTAATAACAGAAACCTATTAGAAAAGAATTACAATTGAGAAAATATATTTTTTAAAATCCAAATAATGTACCTCTGTAAGCGGTGCAGAATGATCCGTGGTGATAGACAACAAGGCTTTTATTTCAGAAAAGCACACTTTAACCATTTGCTAAATAAATAAATAGGAAAGAAAGGACTACTTTACTATATATTTTTAATTTGTCATATCATACTATCAACCTGTTTGGCCAAAGTTAAAAAGTATTTACTTAAAAACCAAAAGGTGTTTTTTTTTTAATTATCCAGTAGAAAATTTTAGGAGACCAAGTCTTGCTATTCCAAGGAAAATAAAAGTAAAATAGAAATAAGACATTGCAAATGTTTTTTAGTTGAAAATTCTGTTCCTGATCATGAATTGTGGATGTGTAACATTTTCTTCTCTGAATTGAAATAACTGACATTACAACTCTCATTCACATTCAGTCATGATTTTTTAAAAAAAGCATATAACATGATTGTCTGTGTCAATTGGGGAATTGGGTAAGGACATAAACAATGATTCCTTACAAAAAGAATGACTGACCTGGTGTATTGAGCAGCACATTGATACTTTTTAAATGTTTAATTAAAATGTATTATAAAATATAAATAGGAAAGTTTTAAAAAGAAAGAGTTGTAGATAAATTTTTTTAAAGTAGCAACTTCTGACTTACATTGTGGTTGAATATAAAAAAAAGTTACAACTTCAATCTTTGGCTTTACATTTCTAAATATTTCAAACATTTCTATAGTAAGAGAGTTCTAGTCATTAGATATCAGAAGTCTTCTATACAATTTTCTATGACATCCAACTATTGCTTCCATGTCTTTTTCTTTATTTCACTCCCTGAATGTGTTATTTTCCCCACGTCTCCATGTTGCCATGAAATGTGCTGAGAAAAATGGCATTCACAGTATCCCAGCTCTTCTGCAACATCCTACCCTGTTATATAAAAAGTTTTTGTAAATAAAATCTCAATATGGAAATAATTTTATGTCTTCCCAGTTTAAATTACATGCTTTCCACAGAAACCAGCAACAGGAGGCACTAAATTATATTATAATGCAAAGAGGGAAAGTTTAAATCTACTATAGTACACTGAAAAGGCAGAGAAAAAGATTGTGCCTGTATATCTAGGTGATATATGGTGTGTATGAGTGTATATCATGATGTGCACAACAACATGCTTGAATACTAGTGCATGCACTACTGCATGCAGGGGCAGCTATTATGACATCCTTAGTAGCACAGATTTTGGCCATCCCTTCCCCTCCTCAAATCTGGAATCTACAGTACCAGAACAATAAAATATATATTACACGTAGAAATGGAATTGTTCCTAAGACAGCTGCAAATTTGTAATTATAATGAAAAATCCATTTTCTAAGATTAGTCTTTGTACAATATTAATAGCTTCTATAGTTCAACAATGAAAATTCACGATTCCTAATGTGACAAACCAGCCCAAATATTTGCACCCATATAATCACTTCAAAATCACATTATTTTCAGTTTTAAAATACCTAAATATCCTACCGTCAATTAAATTAGCCTTGACAAAAAATACTGTCATTTAAATTGATTATATTTATATTACCACCTGAAATATTTGTCATCCATTCAAAACCCAGTATTTCAATAATAAAATAGAAAACTGTTGTCTGTGCTGTCACAGCATCCATCAGATGAAATGCCAACACATGCCTCATTAATCATATCAGAGTAGATATTGAAAAAAATCTGTCACATGATAAATGTCTTCTCCTTTAATAGAAGGAGAATTTAAGTAGAATAAATGTCTACTTTTCTTTAACATTCATCAACCAGCAACTGGTCTGACAATACTTTGCAGATTATCAGTAAAAGATCATGAAGAAATTTCCTAATTGACTGTGATGATTTTTATTTTATTTTTTAAAACTCTAATTAGCTGTCAATAAAATGCCTACAAAGAATGTTATCACCCCTACCACAATTTCCTTCCCTTTCTTCAATCAGTATACAGTTTTTCTCAGCAGGGGAAGCAATTTATAGCTGAATTAATAAACTGAACTTTAACCCAAGTACTCCAATGCCTTTACATTAAGATCAGGTGGAATGCTCCATATCCAATCAATCAAACCATGTCATTTATCAGGATTTGGGAAATATACATGCTGCATCATTTGCCCTCTGGAATTGCATCCTCTTGGATATTTATATGTCTTTCACCTTACATCTGCCCAAAAATTTCTGAAAACCTGGTTCCCCCCCCACAACATTGGGGTAGGCTATTGTGTAGAATGTATTGATTTTTTGTTCTGGTTTATTGAATTTGTTTTTTTCCAGAAGTACAGGTTCTTTTTCTTTTTCATTTTATTGTTCCTACTTCTGAAATGTAAGCCACCCAACAGTCATCTTGGGTCAAGCAAGCACTAGGTCCAATGGAATGCATGGACACATATATAGAGAAATACATTAATGGTGCTTGGTGAAAAATTGTAATCTGCTTTGAATGGGCAGGGATGTGCAGTCAGGGGAGGCAGGGCCTCACCATTGTCATGATGAAAAAAAAAAGGAAAAAGGCAGAGGTAGTTGCTGCCAGAGTCACAGTGGATGACTCTACTTAGTGCTTAACTGCAGGAGGAGGCGAGAGAACCACGTGCCTCCTTTACTCTATCTTTATGATCACTAGAGCAGAGTTAAGCAAGGGTTAAAAGGCGAAAAATTCCTTATGCAAAGGAGGCACGTGGTTCCCTCGCCTCCTCCTGTCCTGGCAGCACAGCTTTTGCCCTTTTTTTTTTTTTTTTT